AGTCATATGTTGAATAAAAAGCGTTATCCTCAGACGTGCCACACCGTCTACCTGGAAAATTTTGGGAGCAGACACCAAGAAACCCAGCGCTGACGACAAGGTGGCGGCAAAGATCCCGATGGTGATCAAATGGCCAGATCCTGAAACTATGGCAAGAATCTGGAGAAAAATAGCCATTATATCTTTCATCCATCTTCCAAAAGTTATTTCGGTAGCTTTAAAAACTTTCTTAGTAAAGCACTTCGCTAGCAATACCATTGTCATTGGTAGTTATTATGCCGAATGCATTGATATGAATGTAAAATCTACTCCACTTTCCAGCAGTCAGAACTCACCGAATGTGAAAATCGTGTTTTTGCTAACAGGGCTGATGCGCTCACCTGGAAATGGTTTGCCAGTCCAAAGCTACATGTGCGGTTCTGCTCACACTGGTCAAAATTCCAGCCTAATTTACAGCCCAAACCACTGCAGTGGACCGAAGAATTGAGCGCTAAACTATCGTTCAGACTACCAGAAGCATCTCTTACAACACTTGCAGCTGAGGGAGAAGAGAGGGAAGTGCCTTAGTGAGGGGTTCAGTAATCGGATGCACATTTCATTGTGACAGAAATATGTCTAATAATAGTAGATGTTCTGTATAGTTTAATTATCAGCTTTGGCCGCTATATTAATCTGTTTGGCTGATGTTGTCAGAATAGTGGCCAATAATTGGCAGCTAACATTCCTATATAATTCCCATTTGGTTGTTTTTTGAAGAAACATTCTGTATTTTTTTTAACCAAATCTAACATTCCCAAAAATGTTCTGGGAACCAAAAATTGCTAGCTGGATATAAATCAGTTTATTTTGATCAAATTCCAATTATGTTTTTCACTATATATTTTTAAATAGTGTGATATCATATCAGTCAAACTCTAAGATATCAACAGCGCTGGCCATAATTAATCAGTCATTCAATTGATCAATCAGTTTTGGTTGACCACTAATGTCTAATCTCACCACATGTGACTGAGATCAATAAATAGCTCAAGGTGGTCCAGAGTATGGCCAGCAGGGTCCCTTTAGGAATCCCACCCGATGGATCCTGGAATAACACAGACATATATGTCATATACGTGTGTTCTGTAGCATTTGAAAGGCACATCAACTGAAGCACAAAAACAGCTAGATAACCTTGAGATCTCCACAGATGTTTACTCCAGACAGAATTCCTGTGGCAGAAGGGAAGAAGATGGAAAACATCCTGAAGAAAGATCCATCTTTGCCTCGGAAGGAAGGCAGCAGATTCTCCACGAAAATCTCAGCTGGGAAAATAAAAAGCTGGTTAGGTTTGGCTGTTGCTTCACCAAATACTCTGGCTGGTGGACCACCATCACTTGGTAATGCAAATCATAATTATGGAATAAAACGTCAAAATTATGAGATAAAATGTTGAAATTATGACATACCAAGTCAAAATTAAGATAAAGTCGATTATGAGGAAAAAAGTTTAAATTATTACATATGAAGTCAATTATGATTAAAAAAAATCATACTACGTTATAATTAAGGGATACAATATAAACATTATGAGATAATTATAAGATACAAAAGTCAAAATTATGAGATGAAGTTGGAATTATGACATACTAGGTCATAATTGAGATTTTAAAAGTCAATATGCTAAAAATGTTTTCAAAAATTTGAAAAAAGATAAGTAAAAAATATGGCAATTATGAGATAAAAAGTTAGAATTATGTGTCAGAAAGTGAAACTGACTAAGTTAAATGCGAGACTAAGTTAAGACAGTTAATTATGGCATAAATTAGAAATTGTGACACAAGTCAGTTGAAACGTCAGTTCTAAGTAAATTGACCTAAAATGCCATAATTAAGAGAGAAAATCATGACATACTATTATATTTTTTTATGTAATAATTATGCATTTTTATTTCATAATTCTGAAAATGCCATCATTTTCACTTATGTCATGGAGGAACTGATCTTCCATATTAATTTGATATGTTGCTGCAGGACAATAAAATGTGGACTCCATAACTTATAAACAAGAGTTTATTGGATGCATTTGAAGGCTGCATTGGATCAGGATCTTGTGTACTCACCACGGTAGCCAAAAAATCCCATAGCCTGCTTCTCGCTGCTGGGGGGAATGACCGTCCCCACAAAATAATTAACTAAGGAGAGCAAGAGTGCAATGAAGAACAGGATCTGAGCCTGTGGTGGGGCGAAAACCAAGAAGAACAATGGCAGCTATGCTGTCACACGAGACAGTATTGGAAAATTGGCAAAAACCAAAGCAAAGGACCTTACCTTCGCCTCCCAAGCCATGCCAGCAAATGTGATGCAGAGGAGGAGGATGACAGTAATCGTCCCAATGATCCTCACATCATTGACATC